AGAGAGAGAGAGAGAGAGAGAGGACAGAGAGGAGAGAGACAAGTGTGGGCTAAGAGACAAGAGGCAACTTGGGGAGGAATAATGAGAGAGGAAAATTCGATTCCATATGTATATGTAATATATGAATAGAAAAGACGAAAAGAAAAGGATGACGTACGAGAAAACACGCGAAATATAATGGTATCACATAAGAAAAGATGAAAACAACGGGAACTGAAAATTCATCGAGCTTTTAATCGTTTTCAAAACACGTTACACATGAGCTTACGAGATCCTTTACAATTATCACAACGATATCGTCCAGCTTCGAAATGAAGTGTTCGCGGTTCGATGATCGAATGACTAAAGACCGATAGATGACGATTACGAAAGTTCCATGTGATTGAATTTTATGTATCGTATATCCTTACTCGGCAAAAGCATGAGATGTTTCCCTTTTTGAAAAAAGATATTCAGAAACGGCGAAGAAACAGCGCGATACGTTAAGACGAGAGATCAGATCGTACACCCGATGAAAAAACGACGAATGGACAAAATCACGGGAATCGCTCAAAACAGTTTATTGTAATAGACCTTCTTCCCTTCGTGGTAACGACTTATATGGTATTTAACGTTAGATGTATACGTGTAACACTTGCTGCAATAAGGACACTGTATCCCCCGAATCCCGCATAAATGACGAATGTGGTAATTCAGATCTTTCCGCCTTTTAAACGTCTTGCCGCATTGATTGCAGTCCAAATTCCCGCCATAGAGAAACGCCCCGGCGCTTTTCACGCTACGACTCTTGCGTTTCTGATCGCACGCGTGCTTCGCATGGAAAACCAAGTCCCTTTGCTTGAGTAATATCTTGCCGCACTGCAAACACTTCGTCGCGTTCGTCTTCGAACGGGACGACGAGTCGTTCCACTCTGAAAAATTAAAACACAAACACGATATATAGCGAAGCTCGAGTTTCAATGACTCCGCACGTAGGAAGATCCCACGACTTCTATACCGATATTACGTGTGTGTATATATATATATACATATATATATATATAACACGTTATATATATATATATATATATATATATATATATATAACGTGCACATCCATACGGATGTGTACATGTCAAGAAAAATTAACAATTTCAAATTTCATTCAATGGAAGCGTTGTATAATCACACTTAATCGAGTGGAACACCAAAGGAACATCGTCAGAGCTCGTAGATTCTCGTTTTTTAGCGAGCGAGCGAGCTGTTTCTCGTGATATTCAAATGTAGATCAACGCCGCGCCAATTTCGCCACCTACGCATTTAGATGCTCGCACATTCACAAATATACGAACGCACGCACGCTGTCAAGCACACACATACACGCGCACAAAGAGACACATAAAATATCGGATCGGCGAAATGTCCTTGTCGTTCATCGCATACATATTGAAGATTTGTCATTACAATGCGTGCCAACTTGGCACGCATGGTATAATCTCGCTTATTTCGATACGAATAAAATACGAACAGCCTAAAAAGAGTTGAAGAAAAAAACCAAGGAATGAAAGAGAGTCGATGATTCGATCGAGAGTTCGACTCGTTGTTGGCTTCATTCATTCACCTTTTTCGGTGATTCTACAACTACGATACTTCACCGGCAGGATTCAACACCGTTCAAAACATTTTGTTCACACCGACTGGCAATTTAGGATGCCAACGTCTGATGTGCCTGTAAACGTTCGAGGATGAATTGTCCTTCTTATGGCAATAAGGACACGCGTATCTAGGAATCTGGCCACACTTGTGTCTAATCAGGTCCCACATCCTTCGGAATCCTGCGTTGCATTTTGAACAGATGTAATTCGAGACCCCGGCCTGCGTCCTCACGTTTGGCCACTCCAATATCCGTACATCTGAAAAGAATCAGGACCGTTAGTCCTGCATCGTCTCACTTGCTACCCGTTTGCCGAAACTATATGCAATATTTGTCTCGAATATGTCTCCTGCGAACGGATCTAAATATACGCAGGTGGTATCGACAAGCGTATCTAATCGCTATCACGTATCAGGATAAACATGACAAAATAATATAACGAACAGAAAAAGGAGAACTAAAAATTTTGCTCCGCTCTGACTAATCTCTTCTCCCTTTCATTTACCACCGGCCGTTTCCACCTCAATCCCGTTTACATCAATACACACATGTTTGCAAACCTACTCGATCATCGGTAGATCGGTAGATGTTTGTCAACGCGTTCATGTGTCTGTCTACGTGCGCACACTGCGTGTGTCATGTTTTATATATGTATCTTTGCGTTTGTGAGAAGGGAAAAGGACGGCGATCGGAACGCGAACAACTGTCTGGAATAATTGAGAATAACATTACACTCGCAATATACATAGTATCACGCCGATAAAGGTCTGGCGAATTTATTGAGGTAAACGATACATCGTGTATCAGTCTATCCCATATTTATTCATCGCGTGGCAGTCTATTTCGCAATCATTTCGAAATCCTTCGTCGATTTCAACGAATAGCATTATATTTATGACTTCTATATTTCTTTTCCTTTCTTTCTTTCTTTCTTTCTTTTCTCTTACTTTCCGTTCCATTTCCTTCTTCTCTTCGTTCACTCTCCACCTTCTTTTTTCTCTGCTGCCTCTTGCTCTTTCTTTTCATCTTCTCCTACCATACGGGGACGATTACGATTTGCGAAAAATACCGAATGTACGTACTCCGAAGCGTCGGAAAGATTATAACACACTGCGACAAACGAACGTAAATTTTTCATTCACTTCAATATGCAATCGCGTTGAATTACGCGTGATTTTGAAATGTGGGAAAGTTTTCAAAGGATTGACAAGCTACACGTACCGAGTAGACAACAATTGATCGCGATATTACCATCAGAGGATAAACACACTGTTGTCGAAACTAAGGCAACCGCG